ATAATTTTTATATATGGCATGAAAACTCATATACGGGCCTGGCCTAGCTCAGGCCTAGAGTTATAGTCCTTATTGCAAGTGCTAAGATCAATCGAGTCCATGATCACTCCCATCGTAATTAAATCCCAAACCTGGGAAAGGTGGGACTCGATACCATGTCTCCATTACCCAGTTAGACCTTATTACCAACATGCATGTTAGTTGACAGCCTACACCTTGGACTATGGTCACTCTACATGCGTAATTGACTTGGAGAATTTTCTCTGTTTAGGAGATATAAACCAAGGTTCAAAGTATCGATACGTATCAGTCAATATGTATCATATCGGATCCTTGCCGATATGCCCCTATAGGAGGTGTTTTGGGTCGACAAGTGGTTCAGGGGGTAGATTGGCCTTAAACCGGATTCGAAAAAAAAAAAAAAAAAAAGAGTACTGATATAGGGCATACGCCCTACTTGATAGAAACCACCATCGTGATGGAATGAAATGAATATGCTGCTTCTGCTGGTTGTCATCCTTTTTTTTTTTAGCAAATGCTGGAGAAGTTGAGTTGGTGAAATTTTAGGCCCCGTTTGATTCGTAGGAATAGGGGACTAGAATCAGAATTAGAATGGGCTATTCCTAAAGAGAAAAACAATCACTATCTTTATTCAATATACAAGTGGGAATTTATACAGAATAGATAACCGACATGTAGAATTACAGATGGCTGTAGAAGTACAACTAGCAAACTTCCAGTTGTTTATCCGACACAACTCAACTTTTAGATTTATCTATGTAAATGACATATGTGATAATACGCCCCCTCAAGTTAGAGCGGGAAGAGATTGAATGCCCAACTTGCTTCTTAGGAAATTAAATTGATCAGTGCCAAGTGTCTTTGTGAACAAATCAACAGGCTGTTGTGCATAGGGCTGTAAGTCGGGCTGGGTTAGGTCGGGTTGAGGCCAACCCTAGCCCAACCCTAAGTTCTAAACCCCCATCTCGACCTTCAACCTGACCTACCCAACCCTAACCCTAAAGAAAAAAAAAAGTGTTTGAAATGACTATAGTTTATTATGATGACTTATAATAGATCTTTTATGGGCAGCAAGATATGGGTGGCAAACAACAGAGAGGAAATAAAGAATAAAATGTTCAGAAAATATACAATATGTTATCAAGGTTTTAGTATTTCCAATTAGGATTAAGTAAATGAAATAAATGATAGTATGTGGTAGTGGCTATACAACTATCATGCATCTAAACAAATCAATGTATGATCATGTATATAACATATATTTATATATGATGTACTATAGAGTCAGGTTCGGGTTGGGCCGGGTTGCCCAAGAGGTCAACCCTAACCCAACCCAAAGTAAAGCCAGGTTCATAAATTTCAACCCTAACCCTAACTTGAGCATCAACCCGACCTAACCCAACCTGACTTTTTCGGGTTGGGTTTGGGCTAACCCAGCCCAAGTTGCAGCCTTAGTTGTGCGTTTCACAAATGGGAAGTGTGGATAGTGTTGTTGATGATTTGCTCATGGACAAAATGACTGTGTAATTCAATATGTTTGGTATGTTCATGAAATACCGGATTGGTCACAATATGTAGAGCATATTGACTGTCACAACAAAGTTCGATGGGCTGATTGAATGAAACTATAAGCTCTTCTTGTAAGATATGCTTTAACCATATCAACTTAGTTTTAGTGGATGTCATAGCTCAGTATTCAACCTCAGCTAAAGAACGGGAGGTTGTATGTCTTGGTTTTCCAGGATATGGCGGATGTACCAAGCATAGTAACATAACCTATGGTGGAGTGTCAGGTAATGGGACAACTTGCCTAGTTTGAATCACTGTATCCAATGAGACATAGGTCATTAGTAGATGAGAAAAAAAGGCCTAAGTTGGCAGTGGCCCGAAGATAATGAACAATTTTCATGGCAGCATCCATGTGTTCTTGTCGTGGTTGATGCATGAACTGACTTAGGATGTTCACTGAATAGCATAAATCTGGTCATGTGACTGTAAGTTACACTAGGCGGCCAACTAGGCATCGACATTGAGCTGGATCTGGAAGTAATGGGCTGTTGTCATCATGGAAATATTTTTGTTGCTCCAATGGAATATGACTAAACTGGCACTCTAGCATGCTAGTTTCTTGAAGAATGTCAAATATGTATTTTTCTTGGCAAAGAAAAATACCCTGCTGAGTAGTGATGACTTCAATACCCAGAAAGTATGTCAGTGGACCAAGATCTTTAAGAGGAAAGCATGATTGAAGATAGTTCTTGAGATCTTCAATACATGATGAAGAGTCCAGTGATGAGGTCATCCACATACACAAGTACACTGGTGAAATGCCCATCACGATGAAGAGTGAAGAGAGAATAATCATTAAGACATTGTTGAAAGCCATACTGCTTTAAGGTGATAGTGAACTTCTCAAACCACATTTGGGAGGCTTGTTTGAGCCCATATAATGACTTATGTAGTTTGCAAAGTTTATTAGGTTGACCTTGTTCGAACCCTTGAGGAATAGTCATGTAAACATCTTCATGCAAATCACCATGCAAAAAGGCATTATTTACACCTAATTGATGCAAATCCCAATGTTTTGTTGTGGCAATAGTAATAAGAGCATGTACAGTGACCAATTTAGCTGCAAGAGCATAGGTGTCGTGATAGTCTAACCCTTTAATTTGGTTGTAACCCTTTGCTATAAAGCGGGCTTTATATCATTCAACAGAGCCATTTGCTTTAAATTTGACTTTGTACACCCATTTTGAGCCAATGGCACGCTTTCTTGGGGGTAAATCCACTATACTCCATGTGTATTGTTCCATACCAAAGCATCTATTTCATCTACCATAGCTTGTTGCCATTTAGGATCCTTGGCAACTTGATGGTAGTTCTAGGGTTCAATGTGAGATGAGATATAGGTGTACAAGGTAGAGTGTAAGAAAGCAGGGAGAGAGCAAACATAATCTTGAAGATGAGATGGTATGCATCAAGTACGCGTTGGCCTGGGTTCAGTAGGTTGATTAATGACAGGGGCAAGATTGAAAGAGAGTGCTTGTGCTATTGAGGATTCCATATTGGAATTGGTGATTTGCTCAGATGGAGGGTGAGCAACTATACGTAGGCCATCATCGGCACTAGGTAATGGCACAATTGGAAATTGGACTTGAGTGTTCTGATTTGTGGTGGCAGTGAAAGGAAAGGCAGATTCATGGAATGTGACATCTCATGAGACAAATATTTGATGAGTGTCAAGGTCATATAAATGGTAAGCCTTTTGCGCAAAAGGATAACCAACAAAGATACATCTTCGTGCCCTTGCAGCAAACTTATCATGTGATTTTGGAGCGGCTCTAGCAAAGCTCAAGCATCCAAAAACACGAATATGATCATATGAAGGGGTTTTGCGAAATAGAGTCTCATAAGGTGTGTGCCCATTCAGTGTAGGTGTGGGTGTATAGTTGATGAGATAAGCAGTTGTTAGGACACACTCACCCCAAAATCGCAAGGGCAACGATGCTTGAAATCAAAGAGCCCATGCCACTTCCAGGACATGCCGATGTTTTTGCTGAACTATTACATTTTCTAGAAGAGTGTCAACACATTAATGCTGATGAATAATTCCATTTGTCGTATAAAACTCTATCATTGGTCCAGATGTGAAATCGGACCCATTATCAGAATGGATGACCTTAACTGAGGTTCCAAATTGATTTTTGACCATAGCACAAAAACCAATCAAAAGAGAAAAAGTCTCTAATTTATTTTTCATAAAATACACCTAGGTGCATCGAGAATGGTCATCTACAATTGTTAAGAAAAAATGAGCACCAGTAATGGATGGGGTTTGTTACCCACTCCAAATATCACAATGCGGTAAATCAAAAGGTGCAACAGCCCTGGAAGTGTGGAGATGAAAAGGTAGCCGAGTGAATTTTGCTCTATGACAAGCTTCAAAACAATGATCTTTAACAAGGGAGCAGCCAAACAATGAAGTAATTCGGTTGGAAGATGCATGTCCTAACTGTTTATGCCACAACTGGTAATCAACAATGTTGTAGCTATTTATGGTAGGTGAAGTTAAAGAATCAGCATCAGTGGTCGGCAATGGAGGGGTTGTAGAAGGCATGGATTTGGGAGTGTGTAGGTGATAGATTCCATTATGCATTCTACTCCAATCACTTTGTTCGAGACTAGGTCCTGCAATATGCAAAATTCTGGAAGAAATATAGCACAACAGTGAAGTTGTGAGGTTAACTTGCTCATAGATAAAAGATTGCATTGAAATTGTGGGATGCACAACACTTTATCAATGGTGAGTGAAGGTGTAAGGGATACTGATCCGTGATGAGTGACTGGTAAGACTATACCATCCGATAATTTTGTAGGACGGGATGATTTCAATGGAATCATATGATCAGGATATGGTGTCATATGATCCGATGCACCTATATCTAGAATCCAGGATGATGCATGGGATGAAGATTCAATGATCATATTGGCAAAATTAGATGAAGTCATAGGATTTGTTGATGAGGTCCTTTTGGGTCCAAGAATGTTGATCAACTTTTGATATTGTTCATATGTTAGTCCAGTGACTGGAAATGCATTATCAGAAAGCATTGCTTAATTTCTTCTGTCTCAACAGACGCCTGTGCTGCAGTCCGAGTGTCACCGGATTTCTTGGGTCGTGAATTGTGCGCCCCCTTTCCCAATTAATAGGATAACCATGAAGCTCATAACAACGATCCTTTGTGTGTCCCCCTTTTTGCAATAGCCGCATTTGAGATTTGACCTCCATGACGATTCCCCTAATTTTGTATTTGATTTTGTGACGACATTCAAGGCCGCTGCATCTATGGCATGAACAAATCACACACCAACAAAAGATTGATGTCGTTCCTCTTGAACGATCAAATTGTAGGCTTTATTGATTCCAGGCAACAGATATGTACTGAGAATGTTAGTGCGGATGTTATTGAAGCTCTCATTCAGTCCCATGAGGAACTGATGAAGTCGCTCTCGTTCACATATTCAACAGCAAATTCCTTCGCAACACCACATATGCACATAGGTATTAATGACAAAATTACGAGTTCATCCCAGAGCCCCTTCAGCTTTATGAAGTAGGTTGTAACTGATTGTCCACCTTGCTGTAATAGAGCAATGTCCCGTTTCAATTGATGTATGCGCGGTGCATTGCTTTGAGAGAAGCGATCTTCAATATCCTTCCAAATTTCTTGCACAGTTTCGATATGAACAACACTTTCATGGAGATCTCTTGCCAAAGAATTGAAGATCCAAGAGATCACCATGGAATTACACTTCACCCAAGCCTGTTCCTTCTCGGAATCCTCTAGTCTTGGCAATGAACCATCGACGAAAGCATATCTGTTCTTTGCTTGCAGGGCGTTGCGCATTGCTCATTGCCATGTCAAGTACTTCTCACCGGTGAGAGGACTTGAAATAAGCACCTCTCCTAGATTATCCGGTGGGTGCAGAAAATAAGGGGAAGAGGAAAACAACTACTATCTTTATTCAATATACAAGTGGGAATTTATACAGAATAGATAACGGACATGTAGAATTACAATTGGCTGTAGAAGTACAGTTGGCAAACTTCTAGTTGTTTAACCGACACAACTCAACTTCTAGATTTATCTATGTAAATGACATATGTGATAATAATTCCGATTCCAACTGTTTGGTTTGGTGGAACCGGAATCTCATTCTCATTCCCATTCCTGCTTCCTTGCCCCTCCCTTGGGAATGAAATCTCATTCCTGTTGGTTCTAATTCTCATTTCCATTCCTGTCTGAACTAAATAGACTATAAAAATAGACCATTCCAATTCAAATTCTGAAGGACTTTGATTCCAATTCCAATTCTGATTTCGATTGCGAACCAAATGGACCCTAAATAAAAAGGGATTGAATATAATTAAAACTGGTATATGATTTGGACACCCCCTTATTTTTATAAGCCAGGGCGGGCATATTCCCACTTTCCGAGTCAGGTTAAAAGGGAGGATTTGAAGTCTGCTACTAAACCAAATAAAAAACCTTTTAATCCCGACTGATTGTGATTGGGTTGATTACAGACTCTGCGAGCTCTCATGTTCAAGTAACCCAACTCGATTGTTACTGGGCGAATCAATCCTCTTCATCATCAAGTTGCTGAATCCAAAGTCAAAAGGCTGGCAAGTGAGAAAGCGACCAAATGAAATGCTTCAAGGGTTGATTCCAGATTGTGTCTCGACTCTCGTAGATGCATGGACATATTTATTGTTGTTGCCTTAAAAATCATAAACATGTCCACAGAAATTAACGTGTCTCCATCAATTAAACTATTGATGATAATTTCACTGCCTTTCTTTGTGTTTCTTCAGTAGCACGTCTTTATTGCGACATCAGATCATCTTTCTGCCTCGATTGAACATAATCTTAATTGAATTTGATCTCTTGTTAATTTCCAAGTACTATCAGCAGTCATCCAAACTTTGACAATGGTGCAGTGGGGTTAATGCAAAAGTAACCCAAGTATCAAAATCATTTGATTAGTCACTAATTTCCTTCATTATGTATAAATGTGATGCCATCCTATATGCTTAATTAGGTTAGAATCTCAACATATTCAGCAGAGGTAGGTAGGTTAGTTGTTTTTTATAGGTCAATATGATACCGACTAAATTTCATGGAGTCTTTTCTTGGAGAAGAGTGGCTTGTGATTGTGAGGTTGGATTATGTTATTGCTTAATTAATTGCTCATTCTGTCCTTAATTGAAATTATTAATTTCAACTTGACCTCGTTTCCTTCAATTCCTCAAAATATCAATCGTTAGACTGAAAGATACATTCCGTTGTGACTGAAATTACTGTGTGTATAACAATTAAAACCTCATGACAACAAGCATTAAGTTGGGGCTAGCTATTTACCATATCTTTTAATTTGGATATATATATAGGAATCCCTGCATCATATGTATATATGCCTCTCAATCAAAGTTAGAGTAACTTTGGGTCAGTAAATGGCCTTTGCTACAGTCAATTTCTTGTATGCAAAGAAAGTACTAATGGTTAATAGTTTCAAACCAAATAACTAAACTAACACAGACATGGGTAAGGACAATTTGCTCAAGATCAATTTAATTTTCTTGTGGAAATGAATGGAAGCCTGTAAGATTAATTATCAGATCCTAATGGAAAGCCTGCAATGTTCTCAGCCCTTTTCTATATATATATATATAGTGACTGCCCTATATATACTTTCGATTTTTAGGATGCATGAATAGTTAAGCATGCATTCAATCTCGTAAAATCTTGTTATATGTTAAGCTCATGAAATCCAAGTTTTAATATCAATAATCACGGATTTCCATTTTTAATACTAATAAATAACTGACAATGATAATGATTTTCTTTAATCATCAAGGTTTTGAATCATTGTCTCTCAGGAGAAAGAGGTATTTAAGAATTAAAACTAGATAGATAGAATCAATCATTATTCAAAAAAAAAAAAAAAAAAACAAGATCAATTATGATCGATCATATAGATATGAAAGGAGTAGAGAGTTGGGAAGCACTGAAATTATTGTTTTAATTAGGGTCCTTTAATGGAAATTGAATGTATAAACTGAAAGGCTCACCAAAAGGAATCTATAAACCCAAATAAGCAAAACTAAAGAAAATGAAAACGGATTGATTTTGTGTGTGGGTTCCCACATGCCACACGTCTGCTTACTAGTGGACTGTAATGGTAGCCAACCCAAAGCATTTTTTATTTCAAAGAGCACAACGAAATATTACACTATAAAAACAGCACTGCTCTTTTTGGATTTTCCCACAGTACAGCTTCCCATATCTCCTAGCCAGCCATAATCTAACTTCAGATTCTCAGGTTTTGTTTTTGGCTTTTTGCCTGGTTTCTCAACTGCAATATCGGCCAAAGAGTCAGGTAAGAGCTTATAAACATTTAGAATTTGCGTTGCCTTGAAAGTTGATTTTCTTCCCCTTTTGCAGGTATGATGGGGAGGTCTCCTTGTTGCGATGACAATGGTTTAAAGAAAGGGCCATGGACGCCAGAGGAAGATCAGAAGCTGATAGCCTACATTCAGCAAAATGGCCATGGAAGCTGGAGAGCACTCCCCAGGCTTGCAGGATTGAACAGATGTGGGAAGAGTTGCAGACTGAGGTGGACTAATTATCTCAAGCCAGATATCAAGAGAGGAAAGTTCTCCGAGGAGGAAGAGCAAGTCATCCTCAACCTTCATTCGATTATTGGGAATAAGTAATCTTTCCTAATCATCATCCTTTGTTAATTGTTTCTTTTTTAATTAATTAAGGTCTGGTCTGGTCTGGTCTGGTCTGATCTGATCTAATAATATATTAATGTTTCACATGATATATATCAACTCTGCAACTAAGCGTGCTTGGGTTAGCGTAGTTCACTTTCGTTCTCTCTTCCTTGGCAGGTGGTCTGCGATCGCTAGCCATCTTCCAGGAAGGACGGACAACGAAATCAAGAATTTTTGGAACACCCATTTGAAGAAGAAACTCCTCAAAGCGGGTATTGATCCTGTAACCCATAAGCCAAGAACTGATCTCAATCTTCTCGATCTACCTCGGTTGCTGGCTGTGGCAAACATTGATTTGATGAACCCATTAGGCAATGCTCTCAGGCTACAGGCAGAGGCGGCACAACTAGCCAGAAACCAACTTCTGCAGCACCTAGTGCAAGCCATTAATACCAGCGTGCCTCAGACGAATGTAGAGGCAGTTAGTCTGTTGGCATCTGCTCCCATTCAGGGTTACGGCCACGCTGAATATCTCGCACCCAACACTCAATTGGAAGGACCTCTGAATAACCCTCAAGTAGTTCCCAATAACTCATCAGGAATTCCAAACAACCCTTCTTGTCCTGGATTTCACCACTATCCCCAAATGTCTTCTGAATTCACAGATTCGGAGGTCCAACAACCACCCAACGACAGCCGGATTCTTGATAACTCAGTCTACTTTGGAGGGGTTGGCATTAACGGTGTATACAACCCAGGTAATAACAATAACATCATCATCAGCTCATATATCAATACAAACTTAGACGGCTGTGTTCCTCCATTGGTCTCGACCTCCCCAGAAAATGAAAGGAAGAATGTGTCCATAAACTCAACCGCCCTTGATACTTGGGGAGACTTTAATCTGCTGGATTTTAACGCTGGAGATAACTGGGGAGATATGGTTGAGTAGGTGTTTTCTACTTTTCTTTCTTGTCAAAATGCAGTCTTCAATATTTATTTTGTCTTCCTATTCTATAACGGTATGCTTTCTATACTATGTATTTTCATTTGCATCCACTTTTCTAGGTCATGGAAGGAGGGGAGGACCCTATCCCTATCAGCTGGTGATCATCAAAAACATGGCCACGTACCCATGTGATGATAATATTACTTGGCATGGGCGAAATGCATGGCTCTGTCATCCAGTACCGTTGGAAGGAGCCTTTCCCCTCATTCCATGAAGGAGCCAAAGTTGTCTTTCTGTTTTTGTTTTTGCAGATAAACTAACAAAATTGAACTGATCAACATCCTTTTTGCAGTCAATCATCATGTCCACCAGCATGGCCAGTTTCATCGTAGCACCAGCTTTCCCAAGGATTATATAGTGGCGTGGGAGCTGAAGGAAATCAATATATATATATATATATATATATATGATATATATTTATAGACAAAATAGCTAAGCATTACCTTACCAAAAGATGGACTTCATTCATGGTTTCTTTTATTTTATACTGTAGGAATAAAGATTGTACTAGATGGATTGGTTTCTTCTTCATGTACATCTTTGCTTTGATATATTCCTCATGCTATAACACAATTCTTGCCTTCCGATCCATCAGAATTTTAATGAATATTTAAAACTTACATGATAAATGGTTCAGGAAAAGCTTCATTATGTAATGGCTGAAGATCATTTTGATCTAGCCAAACTTTTTGCAAGTGGGGGTTGGACCCATTAAGTGGTGGGTAGTAACTTCTGCATGTAACATGTGCACATAATGAGAGAGAGGGAGAGAGAGAGAGAGAGAGAGAGAGAGAGAGAGCTCTGGTCTAACTGGGTTAGATAGATAGTCTCTTCTTGCAGTGGTATTAACCCAGCATGAAAAAACTGCTTAGCTTAGTCTCCTTGAGCGTTGCTGCCGATGGTAAATAAGAAAAGTCACGACGTCACCCATAATTCAGTGAACTTATGGGCGGATGGACCCAAGCTCCGTCAAGGAGGGAGCAAAGTGAAACCTAGGCAAAGCAAGTTAGCTAAAACTGGATCAACAGTATATTAATTTAAAATGAGTTGGTTGTGTAGGGCTTGGTCACGAAACAGAAATATGAAATGGACGACCTCAGAAGACCTCATTACTGTGAATGACTGAGGATTTGACCTTTACAAAGCGACAAAGATTATCAAAATCTCCAACACAACTTGTGGGCACTTGAAAACCACTAGATATCCATCTTACCCTTCTCCTACGTGTGGGATATATATTCAATTCTTCTCTTTAATTTGAGGAGGTCACACAATGGAAGCTCCTATATATAACTCATCATAAACAATAAAATGAAATTATTGCGATTATTGTTGCAAGTGTATTTAAAACCAGTTTGTGCAACTCTTGGATTATTTGCTTTTGCTCTACAGAGACACTGGGACCCATATGGAAAGAGACATTTCAAGACTAAGTAATTAGATGGGTCTTTTCATGGGTGCCACCTTGTTTGTAGGCTGGAGAAAACAAATTAAGTATTGCAAAAATTGATTCTTCACTTGGTACTATCCCTCTAAAATAAAAATGCTCCTTGTTTAATATATATATATATATATATGGCTTGTAGTGATCATATATTAATTAAGACTTTCATAAAGGATTAATTAATATTAATATGCTCATCTTTTCATTCATGTAACCTCACCTCTAAGGAAGGCAAGTAGTTGAAACTCCAAAAGTTAAAAATTCTAAAAGTATAGGGCTTTTGTTTTACAACTTGTTTAATGGATTAATGGCTTAATATAATAAGGTGGGAATATGCATCATCATCCAACGCCTTATCCCAATTATATGGGATAATTGGTTACATGAATCCTGTTTTTCGTTTTTCTCATTCCATTATGTTTAATGCGAGTTCACATTCCCTACAAGCACCCCACATACCACTTGAGATTTGCTACTCATTTTTCCTGCCCACTCTCTACCGACCATGAATTGGAGCCATACATCTCTATTATGAATCGAGAGATGTGTGGCTATAATTCACGGCAGGTAGAGAGTGGGTAGGAAAAGTTATAGGAAATCTGGACTCCCCGCATACATATTTTAGGAACATCTATGCTATGTACTGACATGGCCTGGGGAGTGAATACAAAGCTTTCAAGAGGGACTTTGAATCTTCTAAGGGTACGTGTGGATAGTGGGCCAAGCATGATAAACTACGTTAGCCTGATTATTTGGGCCTACATCTAGCCAGAAAGTTGATCTTAGAGGATTCGAGCACGAAGGCCCTAAATGATTCCATTTATTTTTGATGGACAAGTTTTAAAGAGGGAAAGTATGTATAGAAGAATGATAGAATCCATAAATCCTGTAAATTTTTTCATTAGGATGAATACTTAAACCGCTCCTGGGCCTTGAGCCAGAGGTAAGAATGTCTCCTCAATTTTGATCCTAATCCTCAAAAATTACTTATAAATTCATTTTGGCCTGTTGGCCATTAAGCCTTAAAAGAACAGTGGGAAATATATCAATAATGTCCTTATATGGATGTTTGAATTTGATAAAAAATAAAAAACTTAAATGTCCGGTACAAATAGAGATATTGAAATTTAATTACTCTCTACAACAGTAGAATACATTGCGATCAGAAAAGACAATCCTTTAAAGTTTAAACTACGTTGCTTCCAATGTTACAGTCGAGACATGCTCATCTTCCCCTGACTTGAGCAAAAAGCAGATTATTATCCAATGTCAAGTAGGAGCACTATAGGTCAAGTATCATCACACACAAACACAATTAATGACAAACTGAGGGGTGATTTTTATCTTGCCACGTCAGCCAAGGTCTAAACATTAATTTCTCCCTTCACAATAGTCCATAGCTAGCTAGGCAACTTCTTTTTACACAGCCAGCCAGCAACTCGGCAAGGTACAAACGGTAGGAATATTTAAATGCATTTTAACAAACACCTAATATATTTATATTTGTAAATTCCGAAAAGTGCCAGTGGACCCCATATCATAGCAGAAGAAAAAGACCTAGGGAGCACGAACCCTATATCAAACACGTAACATGCAAAAAGACAGAGAGTTCTAAAAGCCTGAAATGGCTCGTGGTCCCATCTGAGACCCAAAAAATAAAATACAATAAAATCGTCAGGAACGAACATAGCTCTGTCAACTGAAGAAGATGTGGAGAAGACAAATGGAAAAAAAACGAAAAACAAACAAAAAAACACACAGCATCCAACGAAGAAAGTAAACCAGTGACCCTGCTGATACAACAATGCAACCAAAGAACAGAACAAATCATCGGATGCAAACTCCGGCCAAGGAAATAGGACCAACGACAAAAATCACCGCCAAGCTGATGCTTTATTGTCGGGCTTTGATTGTATACCAACGACCAGCGTTAAACAACACCCAAGACCCACCTTCCTGCAGGCAACCGAGACTCTACAAGTAAAGACATACATACGAAGACAAAAGTGACCAACAGAGATAACAGAACTCTCCTATCTAGTAGACACCAGTGGATGATATATAGCAACAGAACAATGAATTAGGAAAATGAGTCTCTTCATTTCATAAAGGAAGGTGGAGGAGGAGGACGACAACAAAACAAAAGTTTCCAAAATAACAACAAAAAAGGGTTAGGCATCTCTGCTTCGTCGTTAATTACGATTGTATATATAAATGATTAACGTTGTCAGATTTGGTACCTGTTCGCGTTTGGGACTTGGGAAGTTGGGAGGGCTCTCACTCAGTCAGGACTCAGGAGAGTGGCTTTTCTTCTGGCTTTACAAGATGGGCCCCACATCGAAAGCCTTGCTGTTTCAGCTATATTTGGTGAAAAGCCCAGCAAGCCTGCCCGGAATTTCACTTTAGTGCCCGTTTAGGATGGTTTTCACTTTTCACACAGCCACTTCGGGCTTTGGGAGGTGGGCCCCAACCGGACGGCCTGTGGACCATGTTTGGTGAAAACCCCGGGAGCCCAAAATGACTGTTTGAAAGCCAAAAACATGGTTTCTGACTACGACTGAAGCTTCTTCAAACCAGTTCAGTGAAAGCAGCTGATGCCTGAACCAGCCCTCTCAAACAGATTCGGCTATGTTTGGTTTAAAGGAAAAGGTAGGGAAAGGAAGGGAAAGACAAGAAAATTTATAAAGATTTTTTTACCTTTTCCTTCAAACCAAACGACATAGTCCTAGTTCAATTAATAAATTGAGTTTCTGCTGAAACCTTTCCAAACGACCGATTGGTCTTGGATTCTTCAAAAATGTAGCCAAAACGGTCTTTTTGGCTGCATTAAGTGTTTACGTGCATGCTGTTCGGTTCTTAGAAATAAATGTTGGATTAGTTAAACTTCTCCCTTAAAAATGTGTTAAACTAGGTTATACCTTAATATTTATTGTTTTAAGTTTATTTTAATCTAAAATTGCTTTAAAAGTATAATAAAAAAAATATTTTTATCTTTTTGTTTTATTTAAATTCTGTTAAATGATTGATCCGCAATTCCGCATGGTCAAAACTGTTAAACCTGTAATCCAGTCATCAAAATGGTTTTTAGCCTGGTTTGAGTTATAAGGGGCTACATAATCAATCACGTATAAATACGCCAATCAGGTTTTCAAAACCTGGCCGGACTGGATGGTCGGATAAGAAAAAACCGGGAACCAATGTTGTTTCCTCAAAAACCGTTGATTTGGTAAACAAACTGCTGATTCAGATAATTGAACCATTCAAACCGTCCAATAGTTTAGTTGAACCATTCGACCCAGGAATTAGACCCCTGATTGGTTTATTGTCCGGTTTGGTTTTAAAAATCTTGCCAA